TACTTATTTCTAAAGTTACCTTTAGGTTGAATTACCTTGCTGGAAATGCATTATCTGTTTAGAAAGGACAGCTAGTATTTGTTTATATTAGAAAAAAATGAGCACTGTGATTAAAAATAAATGTTTAGAAATTCCAGTTGCATGCTGTGATTGTTAGGGTTTGTACAAAAGCACTTATGAGACTCTCATCCTTGAGGAGCTTGTAATAGTCTTGCCCTAAATTAGACAGATTTAGTGCTGAGCAAGCCAATTTTGCGTGACTTCTTGAGTGGTTAAGTCATGTTATGGCATATCTGCCAAAGTGTATATATTTAAGATAGATCGAACCATGGTTACAAATCTAATCTACTCTCTTCCTGTAGCTCTCATCAGAAATGTAAATCTAAACCATTAAATTTGCTTTAATAAAACTTGGCTGAGTTAGCTGCAGAGTGTGTGTTTTGTAATACAGTGTCATGATTCAGAAGAGAATAAACCAGTATTTCTAGGCCACCTGGAACCAAAAATTTGAGATTAATCTGGAAACTGATAGCAACCGTATTAGACTGTAAAACAGTTCACTCTGCTCATGAACAAAATGCTCAACCCAAGAGTATTCCACGTTTCTGAATAAATGAAGGCAAAGGTCTTGTGAATGTAGTGGATAGCATATATGTAAGGTGGCAAGTGTGGTTAGTTATGGCCAGGTCTGTATGTGAAAGCAGCGTATATTCCTTCTGAACTGTCTGTAGCTGTAAATACGTTGATCAGGTAATAGTTACCTCCTCTTCCTATGCTGAGTCCAGAAGTCAAACCAGAGCTGCTTACTGTGGATCTTTAATCTTTACCACATTTTCTGCCAGGAAGAGACAAAAAAGCCCCAAAAGATGACTCGATGCTTTCAGTTGCTCTGCTATGTAGCTGGCTTCATGTGACTGTTATTTGGGTTGAGTGCAGGGTGACATATCATTATTGATTTCCTAACTGAAATCACTGAAGTAGCTTGTGACATAAAGTGCAGAAGTAGAGGCAGAATCTATTCTTTAATAACTACAGGTTTACCTAACAGTAGGACTTCTGTGGGCTAAACTGAAGTCTCAGATTAATCTCATGGAGTTGTACATGTGGAATGCCTTCATTTATCTTAAATTTTCTGGGGTTTTAGAAAGAAATAAGGTTTTTGGGTTGCTAACAGGGTACTGACTGTAGTCTTCAGTTACGGAGGGACATTCTTCTGTAATTCTCTAATCAGTGTTTTATTTACAAAGCTGTGGTCCTTTCACTAGCAAAAGTTGTGGCCTCTGTCTCAGGAGTTAGATAACAACTGTTTAAATATTGAGCGTAACATTTTTATCCTAAGCTGGAGTCTGGTAAGGGAAAGTGATGCATCCTTTCACAAAGTGTTAAAGTGTATTTTAGTTAAATAACAGGGAAAACTCTCATCTGTATCAGATTCCAGATATTAAACAAGCTATACAAGTATTTAAGGTTTTTATGTATTATTGGTGCATATGCTTTCTTTGGATTGCCAGCTTTTCAGAGCTAGTGTTTGGAACCAAAAACCACCCACTCTTATTCTCAAGTTTCAAGTTAAATTAACTTGGAATGTCCTTCTACTTCATACGTCTAATTTATACTTAATTTTTTTAAACATCATTAAGTCCAAGCAATTTAAGAATAGACTGTTTTCAAGCCACAGTTAGGAGTACAATTTTCTTGCTGTAAAATGATTGCTACCCTACCTGGGACAGTTGCAGAATAATTATGACAGGTTGTGCTTGATCTTCCATGTTGCAGCATTAAAAGCCAGAAGTGATCTTTCATGCTAGTAATACCTAATGTCTTTCTATTTCAAGGCACCGATTTAGAGAGAGAGATTTTTAATGTAGGTAAGCTGTGTAAGAACAACCATATTGGGTCAGAAAAGGCTTTGTTCCTGGCCAACAGTGGGGAATCCTTAGGCATGTGAGTGTGAGAAACAGAAAATTATATACTGTCTCTGTGATGTAATGCATCAGTTTTTACTTAGCTGTTGGGCTATTGAGAGTTGCATTTGAAACCATTACAATTAATAGATATTAATGAAATAGCTTTCAGTAATTTAAGTAGTTGTTAAATTTCTGGCATTTCTGGCATTTTCAGCCATCTGTGATAGTGTTTTCCATATGCTGACACGTGAAAGTGAAAACTTCCCTTTTACAGAATATTGATTGCATGAAAGTGTCGGAAACATAGACAGAAGAAAGCTAAATTCTTGTGAAGGCTTAAGCATTTCTTATAGTTCAGGAGTGCGAGCAGGAAAGGGAAGGGTTAAATTTTTATCAAGTTTTTTTTAGTCAGTTAAGGGACATGCTCCTTTCATGTCTTGAGGTTTAGGGCATGTGTACCAAACCAACCTTGTGCATAGTGTGTCACAGCAGAAAAATTCCTCTTGTCAAAGCCCTGCTCATGGTTACTTCCCTCATATCTATCTCCCTGTTAACTCACCACCCCAACGAGTAAGGGAATGCAAACTGAATTAATTATTCTGAAGGTATGAGCCCACCACAAGCTGGCTTCTTCACATTAATGCCTTTCCTGTAATGTGGTGTGCAGGCATTCAAGCATGTTTACAGGGAAAGGGTTGTGACATTTTGAAGAGAGATGGCAATTGAAACTACTTGTTCTTGTAGTAGTGGTCTCATTTTAGTCATCATGCTTCTCATGGGTGCCTTAAGAGTGGGGAAAGACTGATTCCTCTGTGTGTATGCTACATATGAAGTAAGGGTGATGAGATAGTGTCAGTGCTGCGTACAGAGACTGAACTACCTATTTGCAATAATTCACATTATATGGGAACAGGATCCTCTTTTGCTAGTAGAATATATAGCTTGGCTTCTGATTAACGCAATATTTTTCTGTGTTAATCGAGATAATTTCTGTTAACTGATAGGGAAAGTTGCAATGTTTTCTTTAGATGCTAGAGTGATATAATGTAGTAATACACATTAAAATATAGTATAGTAGTAACATTGAAGTCAGTCAAAATCTGTACAAAAATTTGCTTGCAGCACTTTAATATGGAATTGGTCGAACTACATGTCACAGGCATGAATCCTGTTAGGCTCAACAGTGTTAGTTTCTTGCTAGCTAGCTACTTAATTGTGTGTATTTACAGTGAGAAAAAATGTTTGCTTTTAACATGTGATGGTTGCCTTTTGGTTTGCACGTGACTAAGCCGGTTTAGCTTGCTCAAAAAAACCCAAAAACACAACAACAAAAAAACCCCACCCCACAAAAAACCTTAAATTGACGAGGTAAGATTAAATGGATTTACCATAGTCCTGGTAAGTGTTATAAGGTTATGTTATCTTTCACAGGCTTATTTTCATTTCCTCTCACTCTCTAGTATTTTGCTGTATATCAACCACTGCACCTTGTTCTGGAGGAAGGATGTAGTCTGAGGAAATGTCCCAAGAGACAGAGCTGGATAGAGCTCTAAGACTGCTGCTGCTCCAATAGTTTGTGGTTTTGATACTCTGGCAACTTAGTAGTTCTGATTATGCTAAACTGTGGTAAAAACTATTTTTTCTAAAATCCTATTGTACTGGCCACCTTTAATGTTAGACTTTTTACTTTAATGAGCTCAGATTATGTTAAATCCTAACCCGAGCTAGGAAAGAAGAAACTGTAGAGATAGCTATCCCTTTGCAAAATATTAAAAGTAACATTCGGCTCTTTATGTTATACTACTATCTGAAGGACCTAGTTGGGATAGACACTCACTTCTTGACTAATGGTTTTATGGCTGCAATTAAGTGCCTAATAATGTCTCCAAATTGTTGATGCATCTGAAAATGGTGGGAAAACTAATTTTGGTAAATTTAAGCAAAATACAGGTGTTTTCTCAGCATAACCTGTAGTACCTTACAAAGCAAACAAAAACCTCTTAAAAGGCTAGAGCAAAGACAGTCGTGAGGGATTGTTAAAGCTGCTGCAAGTTCAGTAGAATGTGATTGTTATGATCCCACCCCTGC